ACTTTTGGAGCTAACAATGTCTCTTCCCTAATCTTCCTCAAAAGGTAACCACTATTTTGAGTTTTTAAAAAACTATTTACCTATTCATCTACTTAATCTTAAAGCTATGTGGGTCTCTATGTGTCCCTAAACCTGTTAACCTTGGCTTGTTTTGAACTTTATAGCAATGGTATCATACAATATATTCTTCTGTAGTTTCTTTTCTTTTTTTTTAAAGACAGTCTCACTTTGTTGCCCTCAGTAGAGTGCTGTGATGTCATGGCTCACAGCAACCTCCAGCTCTTGCTTCAGCCTCCCAAGTAGCTGGTATCACAGGTGCCCGCCACAACATCCAGCTATTTTTCTGTTGCTGTTTGGCCGGGACCAGATTTGAACTCATCACCCTCAGTACTATGGGGTTGGTGCCTACTCACTGAGCCACAGGCGCCGCCCCCGTAGTTTTTTTTTCTACTCACCATTTTTTCTAAGATTCGAGGTGGTTGTGCCTTAATTCTTTCTTCTGTCTAGAATTCTTTTGTATGATATACTACTTGTCATTTAGCCTTTTTTTTTTGCCAAAGGACATTTGGGCTATTTTCAGTTGTTTGATTGTATGAAGATGCTGTTGTGAACCTTTTAAGGCTGATAACTGGTGTGCATTTTTTTCAGGGTGCATATGCAGGAATGCTGAATTGTAGAGTGAATGCAAACTACCTCAAGTGGTGTGCAGATTCCATTGATCTCACCATTGTCCACAGTGTGTCAGGCTTAAAAATTTTTTCCAATCCAATAAATAATAAAAGGTATTTTTATTCTACTCATAAGGTGCATTTTCCTAATTAAAGTCAAGGGAGTTTTTGTGTTTATGGGCTGTTTGCACATGTTCTTCTGTGAAATTTCTGCTCATATGTTTATTTAGCTCCTTTTTCTATGGATTCTTTTTAAAAAGTTCACTCACAGGAGTTCTTTATGTATTTTGGACACAAATCCTTTGTTGGTTATATGTCCTGCAATTATCTTTTCCCTTGTTTTTTCACTGTCTTCATGGTGTCTTTTGCTAAACAAAAATTTTACAATTTATCTATCAATCTTCTTTATGCTTAGCATTTTGTTTCTTTTTTTTTTTTTTTTTTT